TGGATGTGTATACAGTATATTACATTATGTGTGTATACTATATATGTATGAATGTATAGGTGTACGTTTATCTATATATGTATGTATGGGTATACAGTATTTCAGCAAAGTTATAATTATTATTATACATGTTATTTGTTGCTATGTTTTTGTTTTCTCCAATTTTTTACAGGTGTGCAGACAGATGTTGGTTGTGTTGTCTTGTGTTTTCTTGGTTTATATTTCACAAATCTTCTATAATATCTCTTTCAATCTTCCCTGTTACATTTCTCCTTTTTCTTCTCTTTCTTTTTTCTTCTTCTCTTTATAAAAAAAGTCACTGATGATGAAGAAACTAATATTCAGTTCTGTTTTCTACTGAAGTAGCATTAAAAAAAGACATGACTCAATTCATAGTAATGGCGCCTGTGGGTGCGCGTCACTAGCTATAGCAGCTAATAGGTGAAGTCCAATCCAGTAATACAGATCAATGAAATATCCTAAAATGTAAACAATCCAACTAGTGGAGCCCTCAGTGTAACATGCAAACCATGTCATTTATTTAATACACTTTATTTATAGTGCCAGTAGTGTTTTTTGAGCATTATACAAAAAAGTAACTTCAAAGCATAAATAAAATTTATTCCTGAATAGGTTTGGGCAATATTGGCAAAAAAATTAATCACGATTAATTGGGGTATTTAGCCGATAACGATTAATATGACGATTAAACCCCTGGAATCCCTGGACACCCTTATTTCCTAGTCGCATGGCCAATTTAGTGGGAAAGATTTGTTCTTCATAAAAATCTGTTCCAAATTGTGTCAAAAATTACAGACTTCAGGCTATACATCAAATTTTAAATTATGTTGGTAGATAAATAAATTACAGAACCTTTTTTTTAATGTTCGCCATATTTGAAGTGGAGAGGAGCACCAGTCAGTCTGCCTGACGGAATTAATCGTATTAATCATCAAATGCCAAAATATAATCGATTAATGTTTTTCTGACGATTAATTGCGCACGATACGATTATGCCCAACCCTATTCCTGATCCAGATTGAAGTACTCTGACAGTCAGTTTTTTACCAGTCTAGAACCTTGTGAACAAGGGCCTTACAGAAAAAGCGTCCAACAATGTGGACTTTTAACAGTGAGCTCCCTGAAAACTGTTAGTTTATTTTTATTGCCATCACATCTGTTAAGAGCTACTCGCCAGATTGCCTTTAGCCGACACAATAATCCGTCTTTCAGCCTTTGATCTGTTTAAATTCAGTATTTGTTCTGATGGATGTGAATAACCCTGAGGGCTCTGCTGTTGTCATGTTGGCCACTTCCTCCCTCTCAAAGGGAGGAACGACCTGCCCTTGGTTGTGAGTGCAGCTTTAAAGCAGATATATATATACATGGAATAAAACATCTCAGGCAATCTTACATCAAAGTAATTTTAACATGTGTCCCAACAACATGTATGATACTGATTTAAAGATGAACATGTCTGTAGAGCACTTTAGTGTGATGTAGTGTGATGTTTCCAGGGCTCTCCACACCAACATGAGTTAATTAGACACCATAGAATTGTGTTTATCATTGGAAATTAAAAGTCCTTACTAATGAAAGTCATGTTATGATAACTTCAGGTACGACTTACAGACATGTTCTCTTCATGGTTCAGTGAAGGAAAGCTGTAAACACCCACAGCTTTACTGCAACATGTTTCTACTACAGGAAGCTACGGTAACTCTTCTGGGACAAACGGCACCAAGCAGCAACTACTCTGTGCTCTCTCTTAAAGTGGCAGCAGAAATTATTCCTAACAAAACCCATTCATGATATTTGAAAATTGATTGAGAATCTTCCATGTCTGCAGTAATAAAATGGGTCCATTTTAGCCCCACCTTTACAAACACAATCTTTCTGCATATTTCTATCTGAACGTTATTTTCCTTTATTTACACATTGCTCATCTCTTTTCTTAAAACTTCATTTTCACCTCTGGGTGTCACATGGCACTGACAACTGATCTCGTATCTCTCATCCAGGCCGAGCCAGTCTGTACGGAAAGTCATCCTTGCGGATAGAGAATGTGCGTTCAGATGACCACGGCTGGTACGAGTGTAAAGTGCTAATGCTTCAGCAGCAGTACGACACCTTCCACAATGGCAGCTGGGTGCATCTAACTGTCAACGGTAAGAACCTTCAGCCTTTATGCTTTGTTCCAGCTGTTCAGTTCAAAGATTAGTGAAACACTGGGCCTCATGCAAGAACCGTTCGTACGCACAGATTTGTTCTTAAGTTGTGCGTACGAGTGATTTAGGAGAATTTGTGGCATTCACCAATGTTTTCATATTCTACGTTTTTTTTCAGATATGAACAAAAAATACGTGTATTCCAGACCTGTCGTATATTTTATGAGCAGTCAGTCTGCTGTTATTCAGATGGAATTTCTTCACTAATAACTTTATATTTCGTTAGTT